ATTTGCCCCCTTGCACAATGGTGGGCCGTTGGTCCATATGAACAAAGAGGATCTGAAGAAATTTGAGGAGTTGGGAGTTGGGGCATCAATTGGGGAATTGCTTTTGTTACCAAACCAGATCAGATCATAAAAGTAAGCTAAGGTCCACCAAACCCTTTATAATTTGTATACAAGTCCATATATACAGACAGACAGTCACATAGTTCAAATTCACTTCATTATACATTCCCACATGCCATGAAAACTACTCAACAAGCACACATCCATTGTATGCAACATTTGCTCATATTTTTTGCAAGTGGCAAACCTAGCTGTGATGACAATGTTGTTTAACCAACTCAAAATCTTTTGAAAGCAATGCTTAACTACTTTCTCTAGGGCCGGGTCTGGCCATGTGCGGTCAGGGCGATAGACACATGAGTCTAGATTTTTGGGAGTCCGAATTTTTTTTTTATATATATATATAATCTATTATATTTATAGTTGATATTTATTTTTTAGAATTCATAGAATGGTCTTAATTGTAATTGAAAATAAAATTTTAAAAAGTCAAGGGTCCAATCCTTAACTTTATGGGTATGAAGTTCAATCTAGATATTCCATTCAAAGGGGTGAGGAAATTCGTCACTGGTACACTAAAAAAAAGTGGCTAGATTTTGGTAGACCAAGCCACTAAATTAGAGGCAATGAAGACACATATACTAAAGTATTAGAAGAAGTGAATAATCACTTGACAATTGACACGATAGACAATGATTAAGAAGCCCAAATTAAAAGTCCATAGTGCCTTGTAGATTGCAGAGAGTACGTATGATTAGCAGCATTGAAGGTGAAGTTGGGTAGGGCAACAGAGAAATTGAGTGGCAAGATTAACAACACAACTAAGGCCATCACGACAATAACATAAGCTTAGTACTGTCAATAAGAGTTGATGGAGTAGGCTGGTCAGTCATTTAGATGGGTCAACAAAATATAAGCCTGTCACGCCCTTGTCATGGCCCGCAGATCATGGTAGGCCAGAACACCATAATTATACCATAGACCAGAGTCTATCTCGCATTGTGAATTCTGATCCAAAAAAAAAAAAAAAAAAAAAAACTCGTCAAATTTTGTATTTAGAATTGATACTTTTTGTACATGCAATTAATCATTTCTGTACTTGTAAATATATTGAAGGCACATTACAAACACATAAACGGTTAATTGTATGTACAAAATATGTTAACTACATACAGTCACATACATGTTATCAAACATTTTCTGTGTAATGTGTCTCCAGTTAACATATTATGTATATGCGGTTAACAATTTATGTGTCTGTAGTTATCAGGTTAATGAAGACTCTAGTATTAAACTGTTTTTGAATTCTTAAGAATAATTTATATTTGGTAAGTAGTACCTAAGTTATCATTATCTATTTTTGCTACGTATTAATGTACATTTTCTATCTAAAAACATAATAAGTGTTAATGAAAGTTATACCCCTGATTTATGTCCGTTTTTTCCGTTAAGTTTTTTTTTTTTTGTACATTATGCTATAAAGGTTGTACATTAAAATATTTTGGACAAACATACCCCTACCGTTATAACTTCCGTTATCTTTTCCACTATTACTTCCATGCACATGCATCTACCATATATTTTTTTATCTTCTTCATTAATAATAATATATACACATTATATATTTGAGTTATATGTTAATTATTACATAAAATATAAATATCAAATTTATAAAAATGATTTACATTATTATTATTATTATTATTTAGAATAATTTAAATATCTAAAATCTAAATAAATTTAAAATTTTAATATAAATATTGGGCACCTATTTTTTGCGCATCGCGCATAAAAAATACTAGTTATAATAATAAAAGCAATAACAATAACAATAATAATAATAGTAATTATTATTATTATTATTATTATTATTATTATTATTATTATTATTATTATTATTATTATTATTATTATTATTATTATTATTATTATTATTATTATTATGTGCATACATACATATATTATACATATTGATGGTTTTATCGGGGCGTGATGCCCAATAAGAATATATACAGAAGTCCAAAATACCGGTCCAAAATGGTGGCCAACTAATAAATAAATAAATGTAGGACTAATCAATAAATAGAATAAAATAACCTAAATGTGTTACCACCAGGATTTGAACCCATGCAAACCAGTAGGGAGGAGAAGACCCAAATCACCAAGCTAAGCATGTTGATTGTGCCTTGAGGGGTGCTTTTACATGGACCCCCCCCCCCCCCCTATACTACTGGAGGAACAACATGCACCTTCCACGTGTACGACATCCAGAAGGTGTCAACCACCACCAGACATGTGTTTCACGTATTCCTGTTGCCAACCGCCTCAACCACAGACCAGACGCCACGTGCCCGGACTCCTCACAGACCCCATAGGAAAAAAGGGGAGCACAACATGTGTCCGCGTCCGGGCATGACAGGCGACCACGCCCGTGCACCCGGATCGCACTGGGTGGCAGCGCGACCAGCTGCCACCTAGGGCGATTAGCTGCGCCGTCGGGGCTCCAAAGGCGCCTCGACCCTAAGCGGTGACCGTGCCCACCGGCGCCCCGCCTTCCCTTCGGGCTCCCTTTTGCACCATCTTACCTCCTAACTCGCACCTCTCCTCCCTTGGACCTGGCTTGCACCTCCTCCCTTGCACCTGGATCGCACCGGGTGGCAGCGCGACCAGCTGCCACCCAGGGTGATTAGCTACGCCGTCGGGTCTTCGGGGGCGCCTCGACCGTAGGCGGCGACCGCGCCCACCGACGCCCCGCCTTCCCTTCGGACTCCCTTTTGCACCATTTTACCTCCTAGCTCGCACCTCTCCTCCCTTAGACCTGCCTTGCACTTCCTAACTCGCACCTCTCCTCCCTTTGACCTGCCTTGCACCTCCTCCTGCCTTGCACTTCCTAGCTCGCACCTCTTCTCCCTTGGACCTGCCTTGCACCTCCTAGCTCGCACCTCTCCTCCCTTGGACCTGCCTTGCACCACCATGTCTCCTACCTTGCACCCCTCATTCTTTGGGCTTGGCCCTAAACCAAAAAATAAATAAAAGCCAATAAAGGCTCATACCCAATAACCCCGCAAATTATGCCCTGGAAACGTGTTCACCGTGAATGGTGAACACAAGTCCAAACGACGTCGTTTTTACGAAAAAAAAAAAAAAAAAAAAAAAAGTCGCGGATGTGGAGTTAACGGCGCCGTTTGATCAAATTATGAATTTTCTGTTATGAGATTATGAATGTAATGAAAATTCATAATCTCATAACAGAAAATTCATAATCGCATAAAAGTAAAATATTTATTAAATTATGAATTTCCTGTTATGAGAATGAGATTATGAATGTAATGTAGATTCATAATCTCATAACAGAAAATTCATAATTTCATAACAGAAAATTCATAATCTCATAACAGAAAATTCATAATCTCATAACTGAAAATTCATAATCTCATAACTGAAAATTCATAATCTTATAACAGAAAATTCATAATCTCATGGTTCCAAAGTGAATGTGCAGGCATGGATTCATAATTTATGAATGTCCGTGATTACGGACGGGAATGTGTAGGCATGGTTCCAAAGTGAATGTGCAGGCATGAATTCATAATTTATGAATGTCCGAAATCATTGCTCGCCTCAAATTAAAGTGAAACCGCGAAATGTGAAAATGAAGAAGAAAAGTCACGCAATTAATTAAGAAAAATAAATAAAAGATAACGGTGTACTAACACCGTTGGAACCATGTTCACCATGAATGGTGAGCACAGTTCCATGACATAACGATTGCAATAACCCCATCACATATATCAATGTGGAGGATAATTTTATCTTAGAATAATCCTCAAGTAGGTCACTAAACTACACGAAAAACGTAATTGGGTCATCCAACTTTTTTAAAAAAATAAAAATAATTGTGTTCCTAAATAGTTTAAAATCGTTCAACAAAATCAATTTTGACTTGTTCGTCCGATATCATTGACAATTTGACATCGTGATTATCTTATTAAAACTTATTATTAAAAAATTTATTTTAATATTTTTTAAAGAAAACATCCCTTCCATGTCTTGTTCTCCACCGGAGGCAAAGACCTTCAATCATATTCGTCTCCAAGCCATCAAGGAAATGGTGTGGTTTAAAAAAATTATTTTATTTAGACTGCACAATGCAAGGTGGACCTAGTCCATGATATACCAATTGCTACTTAAGCCACTCCAATTGATTTTTTTTTTTTTTTTTTTTTGAAAAATAGCCACTCCAATTGATTTTATGCATTATTTATTGATATGCTTGAGCTAGTCAAAGACCCAATATTCAACTCTCTTTTATTTCTTTACTTTGTCTTCATTTTAATTAAACTTAAATAGGATAAAAAATTAGTGGATATAAACTTCAATGAAGTGCAGATACAATTGATTTAGATCTACTTACATGGATAAATAATGTGATTACCTTTCTATTCCACATTCAACCTTCATGAATCATGATGGCTTAATGTAAGTTATGCCAACTAATGACTATATTTCGCAAGCTTTATCACATGTAGTATCAATTATACTTCATCATTTTTACTCTTTGATGTGACAAGATATGATAAGTAATTTTCATCCTATGAGTTCCAAGAAAGATGTCAACATCAAAATTTTAAGTGCCAGTAAAAGTACGGAGTAGAACTTGTAGGTCTAAGTAGTAATTTTCATATTTCGGATCTCTGGAAAATAACTATTCCGTCGCGAATCCCATCGCCTAATTTGCACGGAACTATTCAGTTGTCTATCAAAATACGTCAAGGTCATAGACAACGGAATAAATTCAGTCGCCATTCCGTTGCAAAACGCGATTCGCGACGAAATTTGACGGAATTTTGCCTATTCGCGATTTTTTCTTGTAGTGATATGAGATGCAGTGAAGCTTTTCAAATCCATATTTATTATTACTCCGTACTACTTATTAGAACAACAGTAACAACATTATATGAAAATTAAAGCCGCATATATACAGATTTAGCAGCAGCATCATCGTACAGATCAAACGTGAACCAAACCTCGTTAACTCTGCCCTCGAACTCAAACGGGGAGTTGTACTGCGCCACCGCGTACATGGTGGCGTTTTCTCCGCCGTGGCTTTTCATGATGGCGTCCAGCCACACCGTCCCTTGCAGGCTACCACTCAGCGCCGCCGCTTCCTTCCCCACATCGGAATCCGACACAAAACCTCCGAATTGCCTCACGGCCACGTACGTTTCCCCCCATTTCTGCGCGTGCAGGGATTGCGCCGGCGGCGGATTTGCCTGGTTCGCCTTCGGAACGTAGAAGCTCACCACGAACGATGATGCACAAAACGGTCCATCGCTGGGCTTCACTTCCGTCAATACTGGCGCTGTCATCTCTATTTTCTCATTGTAATAGTTCTCTCCTGAAATGTAATCAAACAAACTACAAACCAAACAATTATATATATATTCAAGAAATAGAATACTACGTTAGAATAAAACTAGATTAGCAGAAATATAGCAACAGAATTATTTATAAATCGTGATTGGTGGAGCTGAATTCTCACCGAAGGAAGCCGGTTCTTGTGGCTTGAACAAGGGAGATATCATCAATGGGAGCGGTAGACATCCACATCGACGAATTATAGCGACGAATTTCGTAGTCTTTGCCAGCTTCGATCAGGTCATAGGTGGGACACTCGATCCGTTCGCAGGTCGGAGGAAACAGACCAAGCTGCTGCACATGATGATTCTTAGCATTGATTGAGGTTGTTGAAGTAGTGCTGATGGTCCAAGAATGGTGGACGAAGTAGTTGATCAGAATCACAACTAGCTTAACCCAATCCAACATTTTTCTTGGATGCCCCAAAATGGAAGGATGATTGGAGAAATGGGTGGTTTTTATTTTTTTGATTCTTTGATCAAAGATTGAGATATTTAGAGGTTTCTAGGGCTAATGTTGTAAGAGTGGTCTAGAATTGGACACGTTTCGGGTATTGTTATCTGGTTCTTGTGGAGAAGTTTAATGGACTGTGTGTGTGGCTTTTTCTGCAAGGAAATCACTGCAAACAACAAATTAAAGAAGATAATGCTCAATCGCGAGAAATATTTGAGGGAAAATGGAATTTCAATTCCATGGAAAAGAAATTATAGGAAAAATTAATTACATTGTTTGGTTTGTGAAAAATAAATTACTGGAAATATCAATTTCGTTGTTTGGTTGAGTTTGAAATTGTAAGGAATAATGAATATAAAGATAATTATATCCCTACATAATAATAACAACAATAATAATAATGGTAATTAAGGAAAGTTGGTGAGGGCATAATTATCCTACTTGTTTTCCATCAAAACATTTTTCATAGAAAACAAAATACCAAGGGGGACCATGAAAAATGTTTTCCTCATGAACCAAACAAAGGAAAATCTAGTTTTCCTCAAATTCAAGGAAAACATTTTTCATGAATCAAACATGTCCTAAATGAACTTTTTCTATACCACGCCAACATAAAATTTAAGGCGTAAAATCAGAAGACAACTTAAAATGTGTAGTAAGTGGAGTAGAAATATGTTTAGAATTATACATATTAAATCGGCTCCGGGAGGCACAGGAGCTGGCCCAAAGGGAATCGAACCCAGGTTATCTTGAAATTCTCCCTCACAAAGAGAGCTCATTTGCCACTTGAGCTACCCTGTTAGGTTCCATGACAATCTTTTTAGTTGCACCTAGCGGGTCTTTCATCTCAAATTCATTGCTTAGTTAAAATGTTAACTTATAATAAGAGACATGTTAGGAGAAGCAATGAGCATATCATCAACATAAAGTAATAGATAGACAGACAAAAGATCATTAGAAAATTCTTTAAAATAGACACAATTGTCATATATTACCTTTCAGTTCTTCGATTGACTGAATAGTTAATTTACTGAAAATCATAATTACTGGATAGTCAAAATATATAATTTACTGAATAGTTAATTTAAGTGTCAACCTTGACAAGAAAGTCATAATTACTGAATAGTTAATTTACACTGGAAAGTAGTACGATTGACTTTTCACAAAGTCATATATGAAATGTTGCTCAAGGTTAAAGCGTAAAGTGGGATCTCTAAAAAGTAAAATGTTACTTTACATATGACAGTCAGAATGAATGTTCACTGGCAGAGTAGTGAACAACATCAATCGAACAGTTATCAATAAGAATGTTGCTTAGGAATTTCAAGTCATATGTATACATCCCAAGATGGATTTTTATAAATAGTCAATACAAAGTGGATAATGCTGAAAGCCACACTTTAAGGAGAAATGCAAAATCAATGACTGAAAATATGATAAAATCAAAAAATTGCTTGAAGAACCACTAGTCATTGCACAAAGGATAAATGATTATTTGAAATTCGTTCCCTCCAACTGACAAATTCAAATATGTCTATAAATATCTTCATTTTCAAATCTAAATGAGTTGCTGGTCAATTTGAGAAAATTTACTAATGTTCAAGCAATTCAAAAGTAAACCATTGAGAGATAATAACAATAATAACAATAATAATAATAATAATAATAATAATAATAATAAAAGAGGCTCAAATTCTACATCAAGAGCAAGACGTTGGCAAGCAACGAAGAAATTAAAACAAGTCTGACAGGATAAATGGGCTGGCACCCGACCCGGATCACAAATGGGCATTGACTCAGCATCACATGGGAACCCAACGGGCAGAACTCCAACGGTCAGGAATTCCAACAGGTGCCGTTGTTACTACCATTGAAGCCAATATTGAAGCCTCCATTGATGAGAGAGAATTAAAGGCCAGGCTCCCACTTATGTCCCATGTTGTTACCGTTAGGACTCTGAGTATAAATAGGGCTCTCCTCATCTGGTAGAGGACACTGTACTTTCTATACTGAGACAAGAAGCAATACAACTATTGTTACTCTCTTATAGCATTATTATATTATTATTACCGGTATCGTTATTACCGTCATTGAATTCGAGTCAGAACAAAATGAACTCCACCAAAGGGTGGATCTAAACTTCTTGGATGAAAAGAGAGAGGCGGCATTCTGCAAGATGGAGAACTATGGTCGTCAACTAAAGTCCTACCACGACGCAAAAGTCCGACCCCGTTACTTCCAAGTCGGCGACCTTGTGCTGCGAAGAAGGGAAGCCAGCCAACCCCTTGAAGGGGGAAAATTCGCAAAAAAGTGGGAGGGGCCTTACGTCGTGGAGGAAGTCGTTCGTCCAGGGACATACAAGTTAAGAACTACAGGGGGAAGAATGATCGATCGGGTATGGAACTCGGAACATTTGATCAAATACTTTCCTTAAAAACCTTGTAGTAGCAATCATTAAAATTAGTGCTTGGCAATCGCGGTCCGTCCGCTTTACACACTAAAAGTCCTGGGAAATAACATCTTACTTTCATGGTCCGTCCATGTTACTTAATAAAACAAGCTCGTCATCATCCTTTACAAAAATTTTTGAAGTAATATCTCGTGCTCGTGGTCCGCCCACGTTAAAAAAAAAAAAAAAAAAAAAAAAAAAAAAAAAAAAAAAAAACCCAAGTGGCCGAGACGCATGCCTCGGCCACGGGCCGAGGCCGAGACAAAAAAAAAAAAAAAAAAAAAAAAACCCAAGTGGCCGAGGCGCACGCCTCGGCCACAGGCATCGACCATGCCTCGGCCAAGTGGCCGAGCCGCATGCCTCGGCCAAGTGGCCGAGACGCATGCCTCGGCCACGGGCCGAGGCCGAGACAAAAAATATAAAAAAAAAAATATAAAAAAAAAATTATAACATGTTTATTCCGAAGTAACTAGTTTATTTCGAATATTCTAAAAATAATAGCAAGTTGTTCAAAAACAGGAAGCAAATTGTTGAACGACATAACTAGAAAGCAAGGGAAAATCTCAAAGACTACAAACTACTCATGATCCGAGAGCTCCTCAATCATAATCTGATCTAGTGGAACATTGGGGACGTTGCTAGTGTCGATGCCATGAAACTCGTCCACCAGAGAATCCTCCCGAGCGTCCGTGACATCATCAGTGGATTCATTCTCAGCATCAGGATCCGGATTCTTCTCTATCACAGACAAGCCAAGGGACACGGGGTCAAAATTTGGAACCTTCTCCCTCAGCACTGAAAAGATCTCCTGTTGCTTCGTGTACCGCCCAATATTAAAAGCCACCTGTGCCTCAGCCTCGACCGCCTCTTGGCCAGCCCTAGTCTTGAGAAACTCTTGGACAGCCTCAGGAATGCACATAAAGTGCATCGCGTCCTCCCTAAACTCGGCGGAACTCTTATAGACCTCCACAGCCCGGCCGAGGGCGTCGGCGTGGCCAGCACGGGTCCTCTCGTGGTCCTCCCGCTCCTTCACAATGGCAAGTTTAGCCGCTTCGTGCTCCTTCCTTAGGGCCTCAAGCTCGCCCTCCATCTTGCTTATAGCCTCCGCCCGAGCCAACAATGCTTGGTGTTCCTTCCTTAGCGCCCCGAGCTCGCCTTCCATCTTGCTCAAGGCCCCTTCCCGGATCGATAGCAGGTCCTTGAGGCTCTTGTTGTCCGCGTCCCTAATTTTAACATCCTCAATGAGCGAGTCCATCACCCGCCCTCGTTGGGCATGAATGATCTGTCCCTCTAGCAGGGCCTGAAAGTAAACAAAGTAAGACACACGCCAGGGCAGAAAGGGAACATTAAGTATGAAAACACTAACCTCAAAACTGTGCCTGAGATAACGCTCTTGCAGCATGTTGACATCCATGGCTACAAGGTGTTCCAAGTCCGCAGGAGGAGCAATACGGGCAGCGTACTCAACCGCATCAAGACTCTTATTTATTAAAGACGCCCCGAGTGGCACGTCCATTCCCAGTCGAATCAAGTTGGTCCGAACATGCGAGCCGGACTCAGTAGAAGCATCTCCTCGCACCTCGGGGGGTTGAGGGGAAAAGGTAACGGCCGTGGGCGTCCGAGCCGATGGAGGCTGCGTCACCCCCTCGTCAACCTCGGTTGGAATAGGCACACGCACCTTCGGGGCGACCTTTTTTGGGGTAGGCGTACGCTCAACGTCCTTGGATGGAGTTGGCGTGCGTGCCGGCGGAGGCGGCATCACCCCCGTGGCCTCGGCTTGACTCTTCTTTCCTTTCTCCACCTTACTCTTCTTAGGGGGGGGATCCGGTCGCGACATGTATCGGCTAGTCCTCGAAGATGAAGACATGGTACCTGCAATAAAAAGAAGACAAGTTAGAGTTAGTGGTTGACGAATAAAATACTAAGTGGTAACTAAAGAGTACCCGTGGGCGTAAAAACAGCCGGATGAGTCCTCACGAAGCCTAAGCCCGCGAGCTTCCACTCGGTAGTATAATCAACGATCGATAAGAGACCATCCCCCAGTAAATCATCTACATCTCGGCGGAGGGAGGGACTCATGTCAAGAGTAGGAGGGCAACGTAAATGGGATCCCCACGTGACACGAAAGGGAAACGGACAACTCACAAGAGTGACAAAGACATATTTGGGTTTCCAATCCTTGTTATAAGTAGGACGATCCTCAAAAAGTTTGAAATGTGGCCTGCTCGAAATCTGGATGAATCCCTTACCCTCCTGAGAAGCCCTACCAACTATGAAAAGAGCCTGGAAAAGATCTAGCGTGGGTTCTATCCCTTTGTCCTTACATATAGCAAGAAAGCCCGCAATTACCTGGTGACCATTGGGAACTAGCTGACCGGGGACTATCTCATAGTGGTTCATAAAATCTACCACAAACCTATGGAGGGGAAACCGCAGCCCAACCTGTAGCGACAGAAGGTGGACCCCAAAATACTTATCCGTGGGTGGGTCGGTGATATTACCCCGAGGTTCAGGAGGGAGAGTCAGAACGTCAGGACTAAGGAGGCCTCTAATATCATCCAAATCCCGTTCCCCTAATTGAGGCTGTACGGACAAGACAAGGGACTTATCAAGAACAGAATAGGAGGCCTTGCGTTTTTTCTTCTTTTTCATTTGGGGCTTAGGTGTAGGCGAGTCAGCAGCAAATGGAAGAGGGGGAAAATTTTCGAACAGAGGGGAATCATCATATTCCTCATCAAAATCAAGTTCAACATCAATCAAGGGAGTGAGATCCATTATGAAGCCAAAGACACTAAACTCACCTCGGTTACGGATGACTTGGGTACAAAAACTGCCTGTCAGGAAAAGAGAGTGTCAAAAAGAAAAGAAGAAGAAAAAAAAAAAAGGACCGAGGCACACGCCTCGGCCCCGGAAAAAAAAAAAAAAAAAAAAAAAAAAAAAAAAAAAAAAAAAGAGACCGAGGCACACGCCTCGGCCCCTGGTCGAGGCCGCGCCTCGGCCACATAGCCGAGGCACACGCCTCGGCCAAACGGTCGAGGCGACGCCTCGGCCCCGATCGAAATAAAAATATATATATATATATATATATATATATATATATATATATATATATATATATAATAAAATAAAAAATACATGCATAAATACGTTGTAAAATAAATTACAAAATAATAATAACAACGGAGACTTACAGAGCTGTGGCAGAAGTTGTTGAAGAAGTGCTCTCAAACTGCTCAGAGAGACAGGGGTTTATATTGGAGAAGAGGTCGAGATAAGAAAGTTAAGTGAAGCAGAAAAAGATTGGGAAAGAACAAATCAGGGATTTGGAAGGCAAGTTAGGCATTTGGAAAACAAAACCAAGTATCCTAAATCAAGCAGAATTCTACACAGGATCAAATAAAATATCCTAAATCAAGAGAATTCTACACAAGATCAAAACAGATTCAGCTTTTACTCCCAAGTCAACTCAAACACATCCGTTGACTCAGGAGTAGGGGGACTGGTGACAGGATAAATGGGCTGGCACCCGACCCGGATCACAAATGGGCATTGACTCAGCATCACATGGGAACCCAACGGGCAGAACTCCAACGGTCAGGAATTCCAACAGGTGCCGTTGTTACTACCATTGAAGCCAGCATTGAAGCCTCCATTGATGAGAGAGAATTAAAGGCCAGGCTCCCACTTATGTCCCATGTTGTTACCGTTAGGACTCTGAGTATAAATAGGGCTCTCCTCATCTGGTAGAGGACACTGTACTTTCTATACTGAGACAAGAAGCAATACAACTAGTGTTACTCTCTTATAGCATTATTATATTATTATTACCGGTATCGTTATTACCGTCAAAGTCAAATCAAAATAGTTGGAGTGAACAATCTTGTGTTCAAGTAAATTATCTTTATTGTGGTTGCTTTGTGATCAATATTGTGTTAAGTCGAGACAAGTGCTCTTCATTGTACTAATGAGATAGTGCAATTCTCTTAAAAGTTATAAGAGCAGAATCGAGTGGGCTGTGTTGAATCGAACAATTATAAATCTCTCTCTCTCTCTCTCTCTCCATAAAAGTTATTTAATTTGGCCCTGTTTGGTAACATAATTAGCTTACAACCAATTTTAACTTGTTTGACCACTTTAGTTGTTTGACTTGGTTAAATAGTGAATATGAGTGTTTGATTAATATGCTTTTTGGTCCAAAACTTTAAAATTCAAAAAGCTGCTCAAACCAGATTTTTTTTTTTAAACCAGCTTTTTTGAGAAAATATATTACAATGTAATCAGCTAACAACTAACAACTAATTTACCAAACATCTTTATATAATCAGCTAATGCTATTAACTAGTTCAACCACTAACCCAATCAGTTAACAACTATTTGCCAAACACCCCTTAAGTTTCTAATCAACCAAACCTAAACATTTAAAAAGAACAAACTCGTTTCATACTAAAAAGGGGTCGAGTAACAATTTATTTCGGCTGTGCATTTTATTTTAAAACTATGATTTGTGAATTCAAGTTTCTTGAATTTACTAAGTTTTGCATAAAATTGACAAATCTATTCACCTCCCCCATCTGTACTTGTTCCCATACCCCTTTGGGCCAACATAATGCTCCTTTAGCTAATTTTCTCAAAATCTGTGACACCTTCAAGATCAATGGGGCCTATAACAATGTTATCCGACTGAATTTGTTCCCTTTCACATTGAAGGGGAGGGCGAAGCAGTGTCTAAGATCATTACCAAATCAGAGCATTACTACTTGGGGAAGTTGGCTAGTGCATTCATGTCAAACTATTTTCCACCAGTTAAAACTGTCAAGCTTTGACATGACATATCTTCTTTAATCTAAATGGAAGCTGAAAGTCTCTATAACACTTATGAGAGATACACAGAACTTTTGAGGAGATGTCCCAGTCATGGATTACATGAATGGATGCATGTTCAAAATTTCTACAAATGTTTGAAATTTTGTATGAGACAACTGATAAATGCAACAGAGGAGGGCATTTTGAATAGCAAGACTCCGACTACAACAGTCCAAATGCCGATTGAAGAGATATCCCTTAACATTTATCACTGGACTCTTTTGGTAAGGAGAAACTTGCAAGGAAGGAGCAGTCTATGAAGTTGATGTAGTCTCAATAAAATATTATATAAATTTATTTATTTATTTATAAACGGCAAATTATATCATGTATCATGTCCTACCTTATATTGTCAACTTTGATTCAAATTGAAATTTGAAACCCTAAAATCCAAAATCTTTTAAATCTTGACTAATTTAACAAAAGTCAAAATTCCTTCATTTTCCTGTTTTCCTCTCTCTCAACCTGGATGCCGTGCGGAACTGCGGACGGCGGAGGAGCCGTGGAGTGACGACGTGAGCCAGACCGGCGGTGGATTGCGGACTGCTGAGTTGAGGTTGGTCTTCTACTTTCTTTTCTCTTAGCGTGTAGTTTCTATTTCTTCTACCGTATTCTGCACATTGCAACTCGCTACTGCAACCTTCGGCCGTGGGCTGCGGCTGCGGCGAGCTACCGCCTATAGTTGCGATCTCTGGGGGTGTGATTTCAATGTGAGCCTGTGTGTATTTCAAGTTGACTTGTATCGTTTGCTGTGTTCATTGTGTTTAGTCGAAATTAATGCTGCCATGCAATTTAGTTAATCTGCTATATGAAATTTGTTTGTTTTGGTTTATTGTCATTTGTTTTTGCGTCTCAATATCATTAGTAATTGATAAACCCGAAGGAAATTAAAAGACTTTGGAATGAGAATATGTCCTCTTTAATGTAAATCACTAGTTCCCCTCAAAATGAGAGGAAATGCAAAATGATAAATTTCAGCTTTGTCAAAGCCTATCATGTTTGTCTGGTGGGAGTGGTCTGTTGCTGTGATAATTGGAATTATCGAGCCAAGTTTGGCATGGATACTTAAGTTTGAAAGGATATGATAGATTTTATGCCCATTCAAAAGTCATCTTAGGTGTCAGCATTTATGTGAGCATCTATAAGCAGTATCTGTATTATGTAATGATGAATGTTGGACAACATTCTTTCACTTTTCAGGATCAAATGAAAAAAATTGTCAAGATCACTAGCATCTCAAACATGCTGCATCTTCAATACCTACTGCTCTAAGTGAGCAACTCAAAACCAATTCCCAAATGGAACTTGTGGGTCATTCCATTGTAAGTTATTCCTTAGTCCCTACCTTTTGCTCATACCCTCACCATGTGTATTAGTGGTGCAAGTCTTATGCCTCATGGTTTTGACCATTTAATCATCACATGAATGTTGCTCTACTTCATGGAGATGTGCACCTTTTGTCTCATATATTCAGATTTCAGAATATCTCTAGCTTCCAGACTTGTGTTGTTACTTGTTAGATTTTTATATTTTGGACAATGTAATTCTGGACATTGTATTCAATTTGTGTTTTGGACTTATAATTTGTGGTTATGTACTAGTTTTGTATTGAAGTATTGGTCTAGTTATCATTTTATGTAATATGTTCTATTGTAGTATTAGGCTTATTTTATTTTTTTTACAAATACGTAAGCGTTTAAAAAGGCTTAAAAGCTTATTTAAAGCCTATAATGTGTAAGCCTTAAATAGGCTCAAAGCCTATTTTAAGACTATATTTGAAGCCTTTTTAAATAGGCATTAAAAAGGCTTCAAGCTATGTCAGGCCTATTGTAAGCTCAGGATTAGACCTAAACAAAAGCCTACTTACAGGCTCAGACTTTAGGTTCCCATGGCATGCCTAGGCCTAGCCTGGCAGATTAGCTTCTTAATACCCAACTCAAGTGCGGCGACCGCCGGCGACACCATGATCACTGCGGCGTGTTTCATCCGATCTTAGTATAAAAACAGGCAAGCGAACAATACTCTTATCACTTTCATATCTGCTGTATAAAAAATTACTCAGTATGCATTTTTTACTCCCAAAATTTGAAGAATTACTCAGTTGTTTTTGTTTTGTTTTGTTTTACTTTTTTTATTTTTTTATTTTATTTTTTATAAATTCACAGAATATGTGCATTCTAGAAAATGATATCGTGTAAAAGTTGAAATTTTGGAAATGTTGGTAACTCTTGAACAATGTTTCTGTCTCCGAGTTGGTTGTTGATAATGCCCCCATTTTGCTCAGAATCTTTAGAGAAGATCTGAAACTTTGTCTATTGAACCATCAAGGCGTTAGACTGGCCTCCGGATACCTGTAAATCTGTAATAACTATGGCTGGCTCAATGGCTCGAATCAGGAGATTTTTCTTTCCTTTGCTTGTCAAGCCATTTTCTCCCCCCTCCCTCTCACATGGCCAGCCAATTTTAAGATACTCAAACCCCATTGTGGATCTCTCAAGGCCAAGACTAGTGAATCTTTTTTCTCCACTAAATATTGGGTGGGGTCTGAGGAACTTTAGTCATGGGACTGTGAATTTTGTGATATCTTCAGATGGGAAGCCGAAATTCGAGACCCTTGAAACAGATCCCCCAAAGAAGGAAAAATGGATGACAAAGAGGCGACTGAAGCAGCAGAGAAAGAGAGAGAAGCAGAAGAGGAAATCTGCCAATAAGAGAGATCCCAGAAGGCTGGGAGTTAAAGGTAAGAAGAAAAAGCAGAAGTTTGCTACTGCCGAAGAAAGAATTAAGCAGAAGATTGAAAATGCAAAAATTAAGGAGGCTTTGCTCATTGAGAGACTAAAGCGATATGAGGTTCCCAAAGTTCAAGGTCCTCAAGTTATGCCACATGAACTCACTGGGGAAGAAAGGTTTTATATCAAAAGAATGGCCCAAAAAAAGTCAAATTATGTTCCGATTGGTAGAAGGGGTGTGTTTGGAGGTGTTATTCTTAATATGCATCTCCATTGGAAAAAGCATGAAACTGTTAAGGTCTATTGCAAGCCTTGTAAACCTGGTCAAGTCCAAGACTATGCCAGTGAAATTGCCAGACTGAGTGGTGGAATTCCAATTCAGATAATTGGTGATGATACCATAGTTTTCTATCGAGGAAAGGATTATGTGCAACCAGAAGTGATGTCACCGATTGATACATTATCCAAGAAAAGGGCATTGGAAAAATCCAAGTATGAGCAGTCACTTGAGTCTGTAAGACGCTTTATTGCCATTGCTGAGAAGGAGCTTGAACTTTATTACAGACATGTTGCTCTCTATGGTGATCCCAGTGATCGGAACCCCCATTCTATACTTAACAACTCTATGAACAAAGAAGAGAGAAAGAAAATCAATGTGAGAAAGGAAGCTTCTTCAACAGCAAACAAATGCTTTCATGAATCAGAGATATTTGCAGATTACTCTGGTCAGGAGCTGTCTGACTATGATGATGGTTTGGATGAAGCCCAGCTGGCAAGTGAAGTAGAATCTGAGGGTGATGAGAGGTACCTATGAAGTTTAAATTCTGGTTAATTTTGTTATGGTGTTGGGTCTATCACTCCTGTCTGTTGGAATTTGTTAGTAGAAAGGATTTTTGACATGTAAATTTAGATTAATTAAATGTTTCCCTTTACCCATTTAAAAAAAGTTCAAGAAATGTTTGTAATTTCCACAAGTTAGGTTCTTTTTTAAAAATATAATTATATAATTTCTGGGTTTTGTTTGGATTGAGAAGTGTATAGTATCTATAGGCTAGTGTTAAATTCCCTTTTCTCTGCATGCTTAATTAAATAGTAGTTGCTAGAATATTATTCTTAGTATAGAAAATGAGTTGAACATAGTTGAAAATTTCAAAGATTAATTCATTTGCCAATTTGTGAAGAAGACACCAAAGAATCCTCAGGTAGATGTTGAATCATAGGCCCTACTGTTTGTGTTCAAATGTTCTTGTGGAGATTCTAGGACCTAGGGTTAGGATGATTGTGCCATAAGTCTAGCAACCTGAGGTCAGGATGATTACATCATAATTTTTATGCAGATTACAATATGTTTACACATTAATGGGATTCTTCTTCTTCTTCTTTTGCAAATATTATTTGCTATCCATTACTTACCAGATCACCTTTTTATACTATTGATGCTAGAACGTTTGGAGCTATGAGGTAATTGTATCCTCATTCACATTGTGCCAAAATTTGAAAAGAAATGTATTGAAAATTTAGTGAAAAGTTGGGTTTTCTTGAGGGAACAGAAATGTGACCTGGGGGAGGGGGCCACTTAAACTTTCCTATTTCCTTGGTGTATGTTGATTGTTGAGTAACCATAATATTTTACACAAAACTACTGTTAGTTACAAAGTCATGTATAATTATTCTGCGGTCGATTCTAATTTCTTCTTGACCATGTATGAATAAAATACCCAAATCTTAAGTAAGGATAGAGAGAAAGATGATGAATTATAACAGGTACTTATGATGGATCTTTGTGTCTTAGATGTTCTCCTGGTGCAAAGACTATCATGTGCCGAGCTTCTAGGACATACTGTCACCATGATTACACCATAAATTTTTGCTGATTTCTTCTCTATCCCATATAAATATATAATTACCTGATCCTGCCTTCTTTCTGTTCTTCTCCAAGTACCTGATCTTTCTTTCCTTAAAAGTACGATACAGTTACCTATCACTCACCAATGGCTGTATTGAAAGTATTTCTTTATCTTTATTCTTGTCCATAACAATCTAGTTTTTATTTAATTGATTTCCTTGAAAAAAAAAAATCTTTTGTTTGCTTTTAGATTCATAGAACAATTTCTTCATAGCAAGCTCTGAATAGCATTTAACTGTGGGAGAAGATACAAGAACTGAATCGTTATTCTGGGCTAAACATTTATTTCTGGGAAATAACATGCTTTTGAATGATAGCTCATGTCTGTTGATAAAGCTCATGCTTTTTACACATAGAGAACTTAGAATGATTACTATTCTTCATTTCAGTATCATTTGCAGATAAGTATCACATGTTCATGTGTTAATATTTAATTGCTGGTCAAGTTTTGAAATGTTTGAAGAAATAGCCATGATACCCTTATTTAAACATGAAATTATCCATTTCCAGCCTTTCCTTTTATCATAAAATGCCAAAATACAAATTTCATACCCATCTTGTCGATGATTTTTATTTTTACAAATTTACAATCAATAAGAACATCACACACAATTGCATTGTTTCTTTAGTTTGCAAATTAAATCAAACCAGTTCAAACTATTGGTTATGATGTGATGGCTTGTGATTGGAACCAGATGTTGAAGCTGTTGTGTCCATAACCAGAGCCGGAGGATGTTTTTGTACAGCTTTCATGATAGAACTGTGACCAACTTTTTCACTCTTTCTGATTTCTTCATCAATATGAATATCTTCATCAATGGTTAGAAAAGTAGTTTTTGTGCCATGCGGACCTGGGACAATTGCTTCATGAACTTCCATATGCTCATCCACCTTTACTACATCACTTTCTTGAATCATCCTCTTCTTTCTCTTTTTGATAAAGCAGCACAGGGCTACAGAGAGAAATGCAAGAAAGAACAGACCACCGAGTGAGACAAAAACAATGATGATGACATGAGAATGGTGTCCAGGTGGTGGCGGAGGTGGAATATATGGTGGCGGTGGCTTAACAGCCGGTGATGGTGGTGGACGAATATGTGGTGGAGGAGAGATGGGTTTGGGTCGTGGTGGTGGTGGTGGAATTGTAGGACTTGGTGGCCTTGGTGATGGAGGTGGTGGTCTGACGGGTGGGCGAGGTGGTGCTACCTTCGGTGGGGATGGAGGGTTGACGGGAGGGCGAGGTGGTGCTACCTTTGGTGGGGATGGAGGGTTGACGGGAGGGCGAGGTGGTGCTACCGTTGGTGGGGATGGAGGGTTGACGGGAGGGCGAGGTGGTGCTACCGTTGGTGGGGATGGAGGGTTGACGGGAGGGCGAGGTGGTGCTACCGTTGGTGGGGATGGAGGGTTGACGGGAGGGCGTGGTGGCGCCACTCTTGGAGGAGGGATGTTGGGCTGATATGGCGGTGCCACTTTTGGAGGGAACGGTGGGATTTGTGGCGGAGATGGAGAAGTGTGAGGTGGTGCAGGAGGGAAAAATGGGAAGAAGTTGATGTTTTGGTTAGAAGCCATTTCCAGTGGTAAGTAGTTGGAATAATCTGTTACTCTGTGTGGTCTCTATCTTTAGTGTTTGAGTGAGAATTTATAGTGAATTTTAGTTTATACTTCTAAGTTTCATATGACTTGACTGTCATGTTAAGGCTTTGAGATGGGCTGTCTAGTCTTGATTGCACTAAAAAACACTCTTCTTTCTATTTCTTCCTCCCTGGTCAGTTTATCTATTCAGAAAAACCATTATATTGCTTGCAGTGTAATATATACACACATATATGTATGTGTATATATATATATATATATATATATATATATATATATATATATATTTTATATTTATTTACTTTTATTTTAATTAATTACTTATTTATTTTGATTTCAATTCCTCTTTACTACTAAACAAAGACTCTCTTTCTACTTAAACTCATTATCATCATAAAGTATTTAATTTTCATTACCATTCTAATTCTAATATTTGAACCAACTCTTTAGTTGTGGGTGAGAAAGTTGTAAATGCATAGCTGATAGTATATACATAGAGGTAAATTTCTGTGTTGAAGACCATCTTGATAGTTGATAGTATTAGAGTGACTTGATTACATTTTATCTAGTTCTATTACTAGTAGGTATTGTAGTGGAGTAATACTACACGTACTCTCATATTCTACTCCATTTTATACTCTTTGCTTACATGTTGCCCTTTGATTCATTCAAAAAAAATGTGGGTCACTTTATTACTTTCTTTTCATCTTCTTTCAATAAAATCGGGAGTTTTACTCTCTTGGAGTACGTATATCATTTTCCTAAAATGAATAATGTTGTTATTGAGATTCAAATGTCATGCTACTTATAAAATAAACTAGTCGAGGGCACGTGCTTTGCGTGAAACGTCATGCCCAACAATCAATTATCATGTTCTAATTTTTTATTTTTAAAACGAGTATGTTCTAATTTTTAAATAATAATATATATAATTTTTAATAATTGTTATATGACAAAATAAATAAGAATACATAAATAAGTTATTTAGATACCAACATGATATACAAGAATTGAATTAGGAACATGCGGGAGGACATTTGATTTGGTTTTGAGGGAGAGAATGAAGATGTTAGCTAAAATAATGTAGTGTTTTTTTTTTTTTTTTTTTTTTTAAATGTTAAAAAAAAAAAAAAAGAAAGAAAAAGAATGGAGTGTTGGAATGATAGAGAAAAAAGAAGACAAAGATCACATCAATGCAAAGAGGAAGAAGACAAAAAAGTAATGGTAAAGTTGTTATTTCTTTAAAAATTGAGGGCAATTAAAATGAAAAAATAAATAAAAAATTAGATAAAAAAATTTCATACATTAGATTTGAAATCAATGGTAAGCAAGGGGTGTCATTTTTGAAGGACAAATGGCAACTCCCAAATATAAGTATAGGGGAGATTATCAAAAGATTTTAAAGTGACTTGATAAATAGAAATTTCAGTTTTGTTATTATTTATTATTATTATTATCATTATTATTGTTGTTGTTGTTGTTGTTATAAATAAAAATATTTAAATTGTGGTGTTATTGATGTGTTAACATATTACATATGTAACATGTTTGTGTAAACATAAAGTCAATAATTTCAGCGTGCATGGTAAATTGGTTATATGACTTATATCATGTTTTAATTAACGAGTTAATTTTTTAAGTACCAAAAGTATACGTTTTTATTATCATGTAAATCCATTAATGACATGAGACACCCAAAAAAAAAACTAAACTTGAACTCGTGTTTTTGCATATGATCTTGTGCATATAATTGTATTGTGTAAAAAATTGTTAGGTCTAATTTTGAATCACCACAACAACGTGATGATGCTAAATATATACCAACTATGTCTTTGAGAACGTGAAATAATTTTAGCGATTTAATTTTAGTTTTGATTCCTTAATTGTTGCATGTTTATTCTTTTATTTTTATTTTATTTTTTGTTATTGAGTTCAAAAGTGATTAAATTTAGTTTTCAACTATTGAAAATATGTGATTAAATTAAATTTTTGTTACTATTCCAAACGGGAGGTCACAAGTTCAAGTTCTATCCCAATCAAGGATGTTGATGTAATTACATATATTATGGTTAGTTTAGATTGCAGTCACACAAAGAAAAAAAAAAAAAAAAAAAAGTCCAATTGGGCAATTGAAATTAATATTCTGTTACTTTCTTTAAAAAAAAAAAAAATTAAGTCATCTCTGATTCAAATAATTTATTTTTTATTTTTTATTTTTTATTTTTATTCTATTTTTAATATTCAGTTTTAAATTTGACCAAAGGAATTCTGAATTAAATTTATTTTTAATTGTAATAGTTGTATAGACGATTTCGAATGCGAATTTTAATGTGTTTTTAATTATTTGAATTAATTTATGAAATTATATTTTGTAATTGAAAAATTATTTTATTTTGTTATTTAAATTTATTTTGATTTTGATTTAAAATAAAAAATTGTAATTATAATTGTACGAAAGTGAATAAAATAATAAATGATGTGAAGGAGTGTAGGCTCACAAAATAGGAATAAAAAGGAGAAGAATTGGAGAACAAATATGGAAAGAGATTATATGGTCTTGTCGAAGATCAGTTGGACCTACAAAATGAGAATGTTACGCAATTAACTAATAGCTATTTTTTTTTTTGTTACTTTTTCAAAGTACTGCAGCCCACAGAGTAAATATATACCCCACCACCAGGGTTTGATCATGTGACATTTTCTCAAGAGAAACTATATGTGTCGTCTGAGCACAAAGTGCTTGGCGTATTAGCTAGTTATATAAATGTATTTAGTAAATTAAGCATTTTATCTTAGCTAATTACATGTAAAATGAACTATAAAGGGCATAAGTATATTATGCTACTTAACTCTTAAAGTACTTTGGCTTATAAGCTATTTTCCAATCACCTCCTCAAATCGAGATAGGGAAAAAAAATGCATTTTTAGTATTTTTTTTGAGAGCTGCATTTTTAGTATTTTAATTGTTCCTTACTAATGATTTTAGTTCCTAACTTTTTACCATTGCAATATACTTCCCTAACTCTCTAAAAAAAATACAATTTTAACTTCTGAAACAACAACAAAAATATTAAATTCTATTAAAATTTTACTTAATACATATGCATTTTAGTACTTTTTAATGTTTTTTTTCTTTAATTATAATCTTCTTTAGTTTCCATATTTCATTTGTAAAAAACAAATAACAATTTTAACAAGTTTGTGTAGGGAAGATAGAGACCATGTACATACCACAATTATTGAAGAGAAAATAAAATTTAGGGAAGAAGATTGTTAACTATATATCTATTTTGGCAGATAAAATATCAAAACTGAAAAGGTTATATAGATTAAAGATAATTAAATTTTAAAATACCTGTATATTAAGTAAAATGGTAATGGAGTTTAATAGTTTTGTTGAGGAGTTAAAACAGTTAGCAAGTAATAATTGATAAACTAAAAATACATCTCCCCCATAGTAATATTAGTAGCATATACCCTAATTAATGATAATATACTTCTCCCAAAAGGTTGAATCCTTTACCTCAAGGGACCCCACACCCTGCCCTAACAAAGCATTTAGGAAGATGTAAATTATATCACGATAACTTTCATTGTTGGAAATTATGGAATTTCCGAACGCTTGAAAGTGATCTTAAATCGAGTCGAAAGCAAAAAGTGATTCGAAATAGCAACAAAAGTTTTTCCAGATACCAAAAATGGTTGAAACAAGGCTTTCGACTTGGTCTCTTCTTCTAAATAGTGACTATACTGTCTATTGAACTAATGAGCTAAACCTGGGCAATCATAATACACTATACATACAGGAAGTATACAATTAACGTAACCATGTGGCAAACTATTGTAGTAGTCATGAATAATGAATTTCCTTTGCAAGCAGCGTTGGCCGGGGACGGCGGTGGTGCGCCGGCAAGCTCGGTCTTATTTAGCTACATAAATAATTCTTCATTATTGTCGTTTTATTGACAGCGTTTACGTACGTTCCAAAAATACTGGACATGAATTTCCTCGAATATTTACGTAGCTGAGATGGATCAATGGTAGAATAAGGCATTATGCCTTTTTAATTTACATGTACATGTACGGATGTTATTAGCCAAATGAAACGTTTCAGTGCCACCTAGCTTGCACACCTGACAGTACAACAACGCGGAATCATTAGATATCATATCATTTAGAATGATATATATATAAATATAATGACCAATTGAGTTTATTACCAGAAAATATTTTGAGAGATCAGAAGAAGATGCATGCGTTGGCTATATGGGTACTTGTGGTCGTATGCATTGCTGCATTGATCGCTATTCAGAATATTTTGCATGCTTTCCTTCCGTCAACGAAGAAGAAGAAGGAGGCAGCAGCTCTGGTCGGAGCCACTGGTGTTGCTGTTGCCGGAGCCGCCGCAGGTGCTGCTGTTGCTGATGAGTTGTCGGAGGATAAATCCAACTGTCGTATTGAGATCGATGTTGGTGCCGCTGTTGAAGTCATAGTAGGTTGTTTTTGTAGCGACGGATGATGGATGAGATGTTGTGGATCGGAGGTGGCCCGGGGGTGGGGTAGGGTGAGAGTTATAGGGAAATTGACTGAAATGTAACATTAGCCTCAGCAAATTTTCAAAATATGAGACTGATGAAATTATAAAAAAGACATTTTGGAAATATATTTTATCGCATTTTCAGTCAAATATGAAACGTGTAAGTGAGATTTAGGTTTTTCGAAAAATGCAAATTTCACATGCGTTTCTCGAGAAAAGTATTTTTTGTGTGTGTGTGTGTGTGTTTTTTTTTTTTTTTTTTTTTTTTTGTCTTCGGCGGCTTCTCCGGCTAAGAAGAAGGCAACCAAACTGATCGCCTTCTCCTT